TTCTCATCCAAAAGGATGTTGTGTGGCTTGATATCAAAATGTAGAATCTGCATTTCACATCCTCGATGTAAGTACTCAATCCCCCTAGCCACTCCAAGAGCAATTTCAAACATTCTTTGATAGGTTAAAGATGTGTTGTTTTCACCAGAAAATATGATTTTATCCAAGGATCCATTTGGCATGAAATCATATACAAGAGCTCGTTTAGATCCCTCCACGCAAAATCCGATCAGTCGCACCACATTGACATGATGAACCCTTCCAATGGTAGCAACTTCATTGATGAAATCTTGGCCATTAGCTTTTGATTTGCTCAATAATTTTACTGCCACTAAATTGCCACTTCGAAGCTTCCCTTTGAAAACCAAACCATAACCTCCTTCACCCAATTTATCCTTGAAACCTCTAGTCATTTTCTTTATTTCAGAATAGGAGTACTTAATAGGCATGAAGTTATTCTGCTTTTGAAGGAACTCTTCAATTGTATCATCTGCAGCCAAATGTCTCCTACGAAACTTATACACAATAACTGCAATGAAGATGGATAGCCCCAACAAAGTTCTTGCCAAAATAAGTCCACCTTATCACAAAAAATTAAGAACAGGATCACATCACATAGTTATATGTCACTATTATCCACAAAGTAATTCTTTTTTTTTTTTAATGTGAAATTGAGACTGACCTGTTACTCCAATAACTATGCGATCGGAATCTATTAGAATAACAAATTGACAAAGACATGTAAGGACATAAACATACGGTACTAAGGAATGAGTATTAATCTCCAGTAAAGATTGAATTACAAAAGCATACCTTCCTCGTAGTCATCGTAAATATCGTATTTGTCACCTTCAATTAACGATATAAAGCTGTTGAGCGGAATTAACACAGTTACCAGCACAAGTCCCATAGTGTTTTCCATAGTGTGCAAACTGAAATATACATTCAGCACAAGATAAGCATGAAGAGACATATATCAGTAAGGCGATAAATAAAAGAATGAAGAGGATTTAAAGAACATCAAACTGATTAAGGTTTTGGTAAAGATGTTCAGATCATTATATGAAGCCGAAGAGCATCAGAAACAAGATCTGTCCATAGGAATAATCATGGTATTGACCCCTCAATTAAGCTGTTAGTATCTTCTAAACTAGTTGTGAATCTCATGCCGAAGCAGATGCTACGGCAGTACATACCTGATTTGTCATAAAACCGGCACATTATAGGGCATTATACTGTACCAGTTAATTTCACAGCGGTGCCGGTCGAAAAGTTGCATACCGGCCGAAATAACTTGCACCGGGTACTATGTTAATTTCAGCCGGTGCAAATTTGTGAGCCATTTTCACACACAGAAAAAAAAAAAAAAAAAGAGTTAAAACGAGGAAGGAGGCTGAGTCTATGACTGTGAGGGTGATGCTGAATAATCAGGGGTTACGTGAAGGGGATAGTGAAGGTGAAAAATTGGAGGCGGTGCCGGTAATTTGTGGTCGGCACTGGTTTAATTAAATTTGCAGAGATAGAGAGAGGAGGAAAAAGTTGAGAAACACTGTAATTTATGGTTTAATTCATTTTTGCGAAAAGAAAGAAAAACAAACTTGAAGTGACTGTAATCTTTTAGTTTCAGACTTTCAATTTCTAAGTTGAGTGACTGAGCATTTGGGGAAAACTGGAAAAGGGCCGACAATGAAAGAGAAGGTATGCCATAGGCATGGCATAGGCATGGACACGTGGTTGGTGAGGGTGAGATTTAGATGAGATATTTATTGAGATGCAGGATGACAATGAGGCACGTTAAGGATAAAAAAGGGGTATCCTTCCATTTTCTGAAAAATTGCTTAATGTCCCACACAGGTTAATCATTTTAAATTTAAATACTAGCAATGAATTATGTTTTCTAAATATTAATAACATTATTTTTTTAGTCTACACATTTATATTTTAAGACATTAATTTTATTTTTTTATGTTTAACAAGTATTATTTTATAAGTTTATAATTAATTTATGTAAAAATATATATTTATAACAATAAATTTAAAATAATATATAATCTAATCTAATATGTAATACGTACCTTACTAGTAACAAAATTAATGCATATTTCACTACAATATTGACAACCTTACTTCTATATCAACCCTCCATTAACCTAACTTCCAAATAAGTCCCTCTGAGCAAACTCATGCCATTTAAGTCCCTTTTACTACATCATTGTTTCATGCACTATAAAGCAAAAGCAAAAGTAAATTTTCCTCTATTCTCTGGTCAGGGTATATTTGTAATTTTGATCAATGAATGTGCAGTAGAAGGGGGGGGCTTGTTTGATACTGAATTAATTTTGAGGGACATATTCTCTTCCAAAGGCTTCAAGCTTTAATTAATTTTTAAGGCACATTCTCTACGTCTTTTCTC